GGGGCACGGGGGCAATAGGAAGGGGCCGGGAGGTCCCCAGGGGCGGCTGGGGGTAGGCTAGCAGGGTCAGGGATGCACTGGAAGGGGGGACTTATAGGTCTGTGATCCCCCTGGGGCTCTGACAGGAGGAGGAGGCTGTCAGGACCGGGTGGTGAGACTGGGGGTCCCCGGAGGGTGGACTGGGGGTTTTTAGGGGCCCCAGGACAGGGGCAGAGCTGACCCTGCTGCCCCTCCCCAGGTCCTGGTTCTACTTCAGCGTACGGGGGGGCGCCCCGGGGAAGCTGATCAAGCTGCACATCCTGAACATGAACAAGCAGAGCCGGCTGTACTCCCAGGGCATGTCCCCCTTTGTGCGCACCCTACCTGTGCGGCCCCGCTGGGAGCGCATCCGAGAGCGGCCCAGCTTCGAGGTATGGGAACTGAGGCTGGGGGGTGGGGAGAGGACCCCATGTTCAGGGTTGGGGACAGCTCTGGGGACACAAACACCCCTCACTCACCATGCTGGGCTGATCGTCAGCCTCCTGTGTGGGGCGAGCGACTGGTTTGTACTCTTGACAGCCCTCAGTAAGTGTGTGGAGACGCCAAGCTGAGTGGTGCAGTGACACGCTAGAGGGATAGGATGTCACCCAGAGGGACCTGGACAGGCTGGAGAAGTGTGACTGTGCAACCCTTATGAGGTCCAACAAGGTCAAGTGCAGGGTCCTTCGTGTGGGTCAGCACAATCCCAAACATAGATCCAGGCTGGGCAGAGAACGGATGGAGAGCAGGAGGAGAAGGACTTGGGAGTGCTGGGGGGTGAAAAGCTGGCCATGAGCTGGCAACATGCGCTGGCAGCCCAGCCAGCCCCCTGCACCCTGGGCTGTATCCCCTGAACACGGCCAGCAGGGCAAGGGAGTAGGCCAGGCTGGATGGGGCTCTGAGCAGCCTGATCTAGTGGAAGATGTCCCTGCCTATGGCAGAGGGGTGGACTAGATGGCCTTTAAAGGGTGGGAAGAGACCTTTCGAAGGGAGAGGGTGGAGGGATAAGGACAAAGCCCCTTCCCAGGGCTGGGCACTCAGGAGAGGAGAACTCAGCCGCTCTCTTCTCCACTGGCCAGCTCGGGCCGGGGCGCAGGCTCTTGCTGGGTGACTTCCCTGTTGTGTGACTAGGGGAACCACAGAACGGCTCTCGGAGCAAGCCTGGGGCTTCCCTTCCCCTTCAGCAGTTGTCAAAGTGGTCAGTAAATGGCTGTTTGCGGCAGGGTGCCCCAGGGGAGCAGTGCGGGAGTGCCCAGGGAACCGACACCAGCAAGAACAGCCACGGCAGTGGGTTGACTCACAGCCCCATTGAGCTGTTTGGGCCTGGAACAGGGGTTTGCTGCTTCCGGGGTTTTCTGCCTTCAGTCTATTGGGAGCTGCCTGGAGGAGTTCCCCTGTGGGTGCTCTGGGCTGTCCTTGCTCTGTATGTGCTGCCGTGGGGAGGCAACAGCCCCCCACAACATGTCCCCACTTCTGCCCCACAAAATAGGGGCCAAAGAGAGTCTCCCGTACCCTGGCAGTCGGTGTGGCCTGTGCCATCCCAGGGAGAGATGTGACATGCAGCTGGGCTCTGCGGCGCTCGTTAACTCTGCGAAGCATGCTGAGACACAGCAGTTATTGTGCAGTCTCTGGGCACTGGCGGGTGGGCACAAGGACCAGAAGGGACCCCCTGGGTTTCCTAGAGAGTTCTGCCCCAGAGCTGGGAATGTGGCCAGGGGGTGTCCCCTCCAGGGACCGGAGAACCAAAGGTTTGCAAGAAACAGCCTGGTGTTTCGGGGGTCTGAGCAGAGCGGGCTGGGGTGTGCTGGGAGCACGGCTTCCATTCCCGTGTGGTTAGAGAAGGGCCAGTGGCTGCTGGCACCGCCTGGGGCAGGGGGAACCACAGGGGCCCACGGTGGCTGTGGCCTCCTGGCTTGTGTTCGGGAGGTGGCTCTGCATGGCCTGGGCCGGCTGCCCCTGCTCAGCCTCTGCTTTGTGTCTGTCCCAGATGGTGGAGACGCAGTTTGTGCTGTCCTTCGTGCACCGCTTCCTGGAGCACCGCGGGGCCACCACCTACTTTGCCTTCTGCTACCCCTTCTCCTACACCGAGTGCCAGGAGATGCTGGCGCAGCTGGACGGCCGCTTCCAGGAGTGCAAGCACATGTCTCCCAGCAGGTGCGCCCCCCGCTCCCAGCCCTCGCCTGCCTGGCTTTGCCCCCTTCCCAGGATGTGGTGTCGTCCAGCTCTGGCTGCAGAGGGGGGTCTCTGTGCCCCCCGCAACCCCCTGGTGCTTGCTCCTCTGGGCCCCAGCTCTGCCCGAGCTGCAGCAGCTTCCCCTGCGCATGTGCTTCCAAGGGGCTTCCAGAGGGTCTGTTATTGCTTCAGCCGGATCTCCCCAGCAGGTTCCCATCATGCTGAGGAGGGGCTGTGACAGATCTACAGCCCTGGGTTTAAGGAGAGGGGCTTCTCAGAGGCCAAGACCTCGTTTGCTTTCCCGCTTCTGGCTGCGGGAAGATTGGGGTGTCTCTCTCCCGCTGCTTCCTTCCTCTACCACTGCTGTCACGGAGGGAGATTTCACCAAGAGCCAGCCTTAGTGCCGGGCTCTGTGTGGATCGTGTGAGGAAGCCCCTCTGATCTCAAGAATTTCTTCTCAGCAGTCCCAGGAGAGCTTAGTGCCTGGCTGAGGGGGGAGAACAGTCTGTGTCTGTGTGTCTCTGCTGATGGCTCTGTCCTGGCTCCGGGGCTTTCCTTTCCGTGCTGCAGGGTAGGGATTGTAAATACCTTTTCTTAGATAAGAGGTGAGCGTTGGTTTATTGGAAGGTGTTTGTCCTTAAATTGTCAGGCGATGGAGAACTGTGAGAGTTCAAAGCCTGGCAGTCAGTCGGGAAGGGTCTGACAGTGATGCTGCAGTCTCTGTGGGTCAAACCCCGTCATGGGCGGGTGGCCCCTGAGCCCCTCAGGATGGTGGTGGGGCTGGTGATCCTGACCAAATGCTTCCACAGGGGGTCCCGGCTCCCCTGGCACAGCTGGGGGTCTCTGTGCAGGCGGATCACCCTCCCCTCTGTGTGAGAGTTACATCAAGCCCCCAGACCCTCTGCAGCAGCACCCGACAGGGTGGGCTCCTGAAGGACAGGGGCTGCTACCTCCTTGCTCACCCCAGCTGACACCCTCGCAGCCCTGGGGGGTGGCCTGGGCTACTGCTCTCTCCTCAGAAGGAGCTGCTGCTCAGGAGCACCGTGTTCCTGGGGGTCTCCGAGGGGAGCGGCAGTGCCCAGCCCGGCAGCAGAAGAGGCACTGGTGGCTCGGGCCAGGCCAGGGCTGTGGAACTCCCGGGGAGCACAGCGAGCAGGGACACGGTCCTGCTGGAGGATAGGCAGCTGGAGGCAGAGCTCAGGGCTCAGGGGTGGCAAGTGTCCCCTGCCCTGCTGGGACCCTCCTCTCACTCCTTTAGGGTGTCCCCAGCAGCTGCCAGGGTGATGCCCAGCATCTTGCCCCTTGGTTCCCAGCTCCACCACCCCAGCCCTTTCTTCCCTGGAGGGGAGGCTGTGCCCCCCTGGGCCGGGACAGGCAGGATGAGTGTCTCTCCTCACCCTGCAGCCCCCTGGATTCGGTCTATTACCACCGGGAGCTGCTGTGCCACTCTCTGGACAAGCTGCGTGTGGACCTGCTGACCGTCACCTCCTGCCACGGCATGCTGGAGAAGCGGGAGCCCCGCCTGGACAAGCTCTTCCCAGACACCAGCACTCCACGGCCGCGCCGCTTCGCAGGGAAGAGGGTGAGCTCCTGTGCTGGGGATGGCCAGCATGGCCAGCAAACTGTGTGCCACAGTCCTTGTGTCAGGCCCTTAACCCCACCCTCTGCCTTGAAGGGTGCCATGTCCTGTGGGGCTGGAGCGTGGGGAGTCTGTGAGATCCCGAATCGAGGTGTGGGAACTGGGAGCCTGCTGGGAGCTCCCCAGTGCATCCCTGTCACCATGAAACACCCTGTGGTAGCACCACACATGTTCCTCAGGGAAAAAATTAGTGTCTTGTTTCCTAAGAGTTCTGTTCTGCCCTCCTTTTATTGCTGTTGCCCCTTGAGCTGTGAAGAGGCTGAAGGAAGGGCTGTTCTTGGGGTGTCGGGGATGGGGGACAGGCGGGGAGCTCCCGCTGTGGCTGCACAGAGCTGGGGTGGGGTGCCAGGGGCTGCATGTGCATCTCCTGCTGAGCAGCTCCCACCAAGAGAAGGGCTCTACATTACCATGGCTGTTAGGCTCCTTCCTCACTCTGTGCGGTCACTCGGGGGGCTTTTCTCCTGGCCAGGCCATTGCAGCACCTCAGGGCAGGCAGGAGCCTGCCCATCGTCCCCATCTGTTTGTCCCCAGGTGTTCTTCCTCAGCAGCAGAGTCCACCCAGGAGAAACACCCTCCAGCTTTGTCTTCAATGGCTTCCTGGACTTCATCCTGCGGGAGGAGGACCCCCGGGCTCAGATGCTGCGGCGGATGTTTGTCTTTAAGCTCATCCCCATGCTGAACCCCGACGGGGTGGTGCGAGGCCACTATCGGTGAGAGAGCACAGGGCACTGCTGATCACAGAACCACAGAGCTGTTTGGGTGGGAAGGGCCCTTAAAGCCACCCCCATGCCACCCCCTGCCCTGGGCAGGGACACCTCCCACTAGACCAGGTTGCTCCAAGCCCCCTCCAACCTGGCCTTGAACTCCTCCAGAGATGGGGCAGCCACAGCTTCTCTGGCCAACCTGGGCCAGGCTGTCACCACCCTCATAGCAAAGAATTTTGTCCTCACATCTCATCTCAATCTCCCCTCTTTCAGTGTCTTTTCAGCCCTCCTCCTAGGGCTCCCCTCCTTCATCCAGAGTCCCTCCCCAGCTTTCCTGGAGCCCCCCTTCTTTAGGGACTGGCAGGGGCTCCAAGGTCTCCCCGGAGTCTTCTCTTCTCCAGGCTGACCCCCCCCACACAACTCTCTCAGCCCCCCCTCCCAGCAGAGGGGCTCCAGCCCTCCCAGCATCTCCGGGGCCTCCGCTGGCCGTGCTCCAACAGCTCCATGTCTCTCCTGAGCTGAGGACTCCAAAAGAGGGGCTGGTTTGGCCACTTGTGCTCCAGGATGGAGCCCAAAGCCTCGGCCATTAGGAGGGAAGGACGGTGCTGAGCAAAGGACCTCATGTCTCTCTCTCTGCAGAACGGACTCTCGTGGGGTGAACCTGAATCGCCAGTACCTGAATCCCGACGCCGAGCTGCACCCTGCGGTGTACGGGGCCAAAGCTGTCCTCCTCTACCACCACGTGCACAGCCGCGTCCTGCCGGGCTCTCCCGACTGGAGGACCTACGTCTCCCCGCTGGGCACCAGCTCCCTAAGCACAAAATCTTCCAACCATTCCGTCCGTGACAGCGCCCCGTCCACAGAGCCGGCCCTGTCCGAGCTGGAGAAAGCCAATAACCTCCGCAACTCGCCCGGCAGCTGGCAAACCAGCACCTTCCTCAGCCCTTCTCAGGAACCCCGGCTCCCGGGGGCCCCCGCTGCCGAGCCAGGCAACAGGGACCCAGCTGTCTGGATCCTCCCGTCGAGCCACGGCACCGAGCACTGTGAGGAGGAGGAAGAAGGCAGGAGGCCTTCGTCAGCACCTCCCCCTGAATCCATCCCGCCCCAGGACAGCGGGCTGGCCTACTACGTGGATCTCCACGGCCATGCCTCCAAGCGTGGCTGCTTCATGTACGGCAACAGTTTCCCTGACGAAAACGATCAGGTGAGGGCAGGAGGTAGGAGTTACAGGGGCACTGGGGGGTAGGAGTTACAGGGGTGCTGGGACCCTCCCACCACTCTGCCCCCTCTCCAGGATCCCCAACACTCCCCCCACTGCTGGGAGGTCCCTGTCACACCACAAATGGAGGTCCTTGTGGGGACGGGGCTGGTGCCCGAGGAGCCTGGCTGGGCTGTCTGCCCCCTGGGGCTCAGTGAGATTTGCTCCCCTCTCCCCTGTGGCCGGGGCAGTGGCAGCAGGTCTGGGCTTTCCCTGGGATTTGGCGTGGGCAGGACAGAGGAGCTGCCCCCTCTTCATAGAATCATGGAATTGTCCAGGTTGGGAGGGACCTCTCAGATCATGGAGTCCAACCATCAACCCAACACTGACAAACCAACCACTGACCCATGTCCCTCAGCACCATGTCTGTCTGGCTTTTAAATCCCTCCAGGGATAGTGACTCCACCACTGCCCTGGGCAGCCTCTGCCAAGGCTTGAAAACCCTTTCAGTGAAGAAATCGTTCCCAGTATCCATCCTAAACGTCCCCTGGTGCAACTTGAGGCCATTTCCTCTTGTCCCATCACCTGGTCTTTGGGAGAAGAGACTGCCTCCCCCTGGCCACACCCTCCTTTCAGGGAGTTGTAGAGGGCGAGAAGGTCTCCCCTCAGCCTCCTTTTCTCCAGGCTGAACACCCCCAGCTCCTTCAGCTGCTCCCCACAAGATTTGTTCTCCAGACCCCTCACCAGCTCTGTTGCCCTTCCCTGGACACCCTCCAGCCCCCCAAGGTCTTTCCTGTCGTGAGGGGCCCAAAACTGGACCCAGCCCTCAAGGTGGGGCCTCACCAGTGCCCAGTACAGGGGGGCAGTCACTGCCCTACTGCTGCTGGCCACACTGTTCCTGATACAGGCCAGGATGCTGGTAGCCTTCTTGGCCACCTTGGCACACTGCTAGCTCGCTTCTTCTCCCAAAGGACAAGAAGGTGGGGAAGAGCCCTGCCATGGGGGTCCCTCCTCTCCTCAGGGGAGCCCAGCTGCTCCCTATCCCTGCATGGGATGGGCAGGGGTGGGCAGCGTTCCCCAGGCAGGGCTGGGGTGTGTGAGATGCTGGAACTGGGCAGAGTGGGACCAGCCAACACCCTGGTGCATCCCAGAGCTCGGCACGGGTAGTGCTGGGTAGGACAAGCAGCCAAGGGCTCCCTCACCCCAAGAATTCACCCGCATTCCCCACTGTGCCGCAGGTGGAGAACATGCTGTTCCCCAAACTCATCTCCCTGAACTCACCTCACTTCGACTTCACGGGCTGTAACTTCTCGGAGAAGAACATGTACGCCAAAGACAAGCGGGACGGGCAGTCAAAGGAGGGCAGCGGGCGGGTGGCCATCTACAAAGCCTTGGGGATCATCCACAGGTAGGGAAACCTTCCTCTGTCTCTCCTGGCCTGCTGTCCCTGGGGCTCCCTGCTGGGGCTAAGACTGGCCAAGGAGGGTGTCGCACGCTGGGTGCAGGGGCCCAACCGCATTCCTGACCCTCTGTCCTGGCTCCTCCTCCTCCTCCCCATCCCTCTGGAGCTGCTCTGGCCTCTTGTCCTTGCTGTTGCAGAGCTCCTTGTGCACAGCCTCCCAGAAGGAATTCTCCTCTTTCTCAGATGTTTACGTTCGTGTTGAGCTGTAATTAAAACCTGTTGTAATGGGCTCAGCTTCCCCAGACCTCGCCTGTGAGATTCCAGCCTCGAGCAGTTTATGATTTGGGAGCTGAGGGTGTTTGTGTGACCCGGAGCAGCCGCGTGCCTCTCCCCAGCATGGGCTGGGATATTTTTGTCCCTGTTTCTGTTGTGGTTGCTGGGAACATAAAAACGGCTGAATTAATGAGACCAACAGCCTGTTTTACCCAGTTTGTCCCTGGTGGCAGCCAGTTGCAGATGCCAAGGGTAGAGTACGAGAAGAGCAGTGTGTAATGATTCTTGAGGAGACGCTGCGTTCCCTGGGCATCTGGGGTTTGAGGAGACATGGAAGCAGTGCCAGCTCGCCCCCCCCGCCCCGCAGCTCAGGGGGCACACGGCCTCCAGCCCTGCAGTGACAGCCTAGGAAACTGGTGGCTGGAGAGGGGGTGATCCCCTCTGCTTTTGGAGCCCACTGAGCTGTGTTTGGTGACCCTGCTTTGGCAGGGGGTCAGACTAAAGGATCTCCAAAGGTCCCTTACAGCCCCCCCATTCCACATTCAGTCAGCCTCCTGCTGCTGGGGGTGGCTGTGGTGCCGTGGTTGGTGGTGATGGTGGGGCCATGGTGGTCAGTTGCTGCCACAGTGGTTTGCCCTGTGGGTGCCAGGCCAGCATTGGCACACCATGGCAGAGGAAGGCAAGTTCCTCTGGTCAGTGGGCAAGTTCATGCGGTCAGTGGGCTTGTGGCAGGGAAAAGAGAGCTAGAAAGTGGCTCGATGTCTCTTGCCCTGAAGTCCCACAGTCTGGGCCACGTGATTCAGTGTCTCATTGCCAGAAAATTGTCACAGTGTGAGGCTTTGCTCCAGGGGAGCGATGTGCCATCCCCTCTCCCATGCCCTGGGTGAGTCTTTTGCCCCGTCCTTAGCGTGAACCCACCAGGGATGGTGGCAGAGCCTTTTAAATTGACCAGAGAACATCTTCTGGTAGTTGCGTCTCCCTCAAAAGGCAGCGGTTGGGGTGTCCCTGGCAGATGGGGGTGCCTTGGCTGTTGATTTGAGGTAAGAAGTGGGTACTTGGCACTTTGGGCGCTCGGTGATCACTGCTTGCTCCTGCTCCCCCATGGCCGGTCCTCTCTTTGGCATCGATTTCAGAGTCTGGTCCCTTGGGTCCCGAGTCACAGCCACCTCCCCTGGCCTTCACCTGATGGCCAACTGCTGATTTTTCCCCTCTTTATTCCTTCCTCAGCAGATGAGAAAAGGTGCAGGTTGCAGCAAGAGCTGTGGCACGATGGCAGGAGGCACCTCTTCTCTCCAGACCCCTCCCGGGGGCTGGGGGGGGACACTGGTGGCTCCCAGGAGAGGTGACCCCAGCTCTGCTGGTGCAGTGTCATTGCAGCAGCAGTGCCCCGGTGGCTGTGGGTCCATCGGATAACATGGGCTCTCCTTGTGCTCCACAGCTACACGCTGGAGTGTAACTACAACACGGGGCGCTCGGTGAACCCCATCCCGGTGGCCTGCCACGACAACGGGCGGGCCAGCCCCCCGCCGCCCCCAGCCTTCCCCTCCCGCTACACCGTGGAGCTGTTTGAGCAGGTAAGAGGGTCCCCAGCAGTGGGGAGGGGGGGCGTTTGAGCAGGTAAGGGGGTCCCAGCCATCTGGGGGTGCCCCTGCCGCTAACCCCAGCCCCAAAACGCTTTGCTCAGTGCCTGGGACTGGGGGCTTCTGCCCTCGGCCCCTGGGGTAGCCTGGGGTCATCTCTGCACGTCTCACACCACTACTGACACGCTGGGACCCTGGTCTGGGGGTCACACAGAGCCAGTGAGTCTGGGGGTGCTCGTCCAGTCTCCCAACCAGAGGTGGCTGGTCCCTGTGGCCGTGGGCCCCTGACTGGCCCTCGTCCAGAGACGCTCTGGGAACATTCCTCCTTCTGGGGATCTCGACTGGAGCCTGCAACGGAGCCAAAACGAGCTCTGGGGGGTGCTCTGGGGTTCGGATTTTGCCTTTCTTTGTTTTCCTGTCCCAGTTCCCGAGTGCGGGGGCTGTTGGTCACCAGCACCTCTCTCCCACAGGTGGGCCGGGCCGTGGCGGTGGCGGCGCTGGACATGGCAGAGTGCAACCCCTGGCCCCGCATCGTCCTCTCGGAGCACAGCTGCCTCAGCAACCTGCGGGCCTGGATGCTGCGGCACGTGCGGGGCATGAAGGGCGCCAGCGGGGGCCCGCGCAGGAGAGGAGGTGCCAGGACCCCCCCCAGGACCTCCACGTAAGGGCCCAGCGGGTTGAGTGTTGAGGAGCTGCTGGATAACGCCAATTAGAGATGATAAATGTGCTCCAAGTGAGTCACCCCGCAGCTAACGAAGCCGAGGTCTATTCGCTCGCTCTGTTGGGGTCCCTGCTTGTCCCTGTGGAGTTGCTTTGTCATCTGCGTGTGTCCCCCAGCTCCGTGTCCTTGGAGAGCACAGGGGACACCCAGCCCTGTGGGGTGATGCTGTTCGGGATTCACCCACCCCGGTGTCCCTGAGGAGAGACCCAGTGTCTCCCCAGCCCGGTCCGGCGCTGGGATTGGGGCTGGGGGCGAGGGAGGGGGAGCTCTGAAACGCTGCTGCTGACGCAATGTAGTGGGAGGGGGACTGGGGGCTGCTGCTGCTGAGGGACAACCTTGGTGACATTCCTGTCCTCAGCTGGTCACCAGCCACCAGGCTCCGACAGACCCAGTGTCCTGCAGCAGCAGAGCCTGGGCTGTGGGGGCACACAGAGGGGACCCCTCCCCACAGAGCCAATCTGAGCCCCCCATTTCTCCTCCCCTTCCAGCGGGCTGCCCACCTCAGCCTCCGATAACGCCCTGTCCCGCACCAGGAGCTTCAGCAACGGCACCAGCGGCAGCGGGGGCAGCCAGCAGGACTCGCCCCACATCAAAGCCTCCCCCAGCTTCACCTTCAGCTGCAGCAGGGACCCCGGCCCCCCCGCTGCCACCCAGAGCCCCCAGAGGGGCAGCGCCAGAGCCCCCGGCAGAGGTAAGCTGGGCTGGGGACCTCTCCTGCGCTTGGTCCCCTACCTGTCGAGCTGCTGCGCCAGGCCACAGCCCTGAGGAGAGCCCTGTGCCGGCCCAACCCTCTGCTTTGATGTAATAAAAGTGGGTTTTTTGCGTGGAAGAAGTGTGTGTGAACGGCCCCCCCGGCCCCTCAGGAGGGTCCTGGACGCTGTGCTCCGTCCCCAGTGGAGCAGCCCTGGCTGGGCCGGGACAGACACCCCACAGCGAGACCCGGGGCCTCTCCAGGGAGCTGAGGGGGGCCCAGCTGAGCTCTTGCCCACCGGCCCAGGAGCTCTGGCTGGGCAGAGCCTGTCCGTGGCTTCTTTTGCACTGAGACCCGAAGGGCTCCGTCTGCCAGGACAGTGGCCCTGGTGGCTCCGCTGCCCAGGGCGGGGGACAAGGGGCTCTGAAAGGCTGGCATGGAAAACCTCTCCTTGCCCTCCCTTGGCCTCAGCCACTCCCAAAGCATTCCCAAGGCCTGCACCAAAGTGCCTTTTCCTTTCCCAGGCACCGGCCGAGCAGCAGGTGATGGTGGCACATGGCTCTGGTCACGGCAGGCTGGCAGAGCTCCAATTAGGCACTGGGGGCTTTGAGCGTGCGGTGGGGGCTGGCTGGGACTGACTGGCAGCACTGAGCTGCCTGCATGGCGGGGGGGAATGCTGCAGCTTGCCACCCTGCAAGCCCTGGGGCCACACCACAGTCTGGCAGCCAAAACAAGGCAAGGGGCTGGCTGTGCCCTGGGGCTGGCTTCCTCCCCACCAGGCAGGGGCTCGGTGCTGCAGCCGCTGGGCGATGGTGGGGAAGCCCTGGTGCTACTCTATGGGCTGGTCCCAAAAGCCCCTAGTGAAGGGAAGGGGGCTGGACTGGGAGCCCCAGTTTGCTATGGGGCTCCGGGCCCCTGTGAGCACCATCCCTGCACCCCAAGGTGGGGGGAGTGCGAGCAAGGGTCTGCTGTGGGGACGAGGGGGCAGGCTGTGTGACTTGAGTGTGACTGTCCTTGTGTGGAGGCTGTGTGTGCCGCGCCGGGGGCAGAGCGCGGCGTGTCCCACCCTTGGCTGCTTCCTCCTGCTCCCCTCGTGTTCCTTGTCCTGCTTCGTCCTCCTCCCTGTTTGCTTTCCAGCACCCTGTGGTGACCGTTTCTTGTCCCCCATGAGAAGGTGGTGGGGAGGAAATAAAAGGCTTGTGTTCTCATGGGCACCTTGTGACGTCTGTTCCTTCTGCCGTGCATGCTCGGCCACCCCGGAGCCAGCGTGGGCAACCCCTGGCCCCGCTGCCGGGGAGTCGGTGACAGTCGGGTGTGTGAGCAGGAACAGACCTCGTGGGGCTGGAGGGGCAGAGCCTGTCTCGGGAGGAGGGACCAGCACCATTCTGCTCCCCGAGCCCATGCTGCCCGCTGTCCCGCTGCCATCGGCACAGCCTCCTCCGGCGAGGGCAGCCGTGACCAGCAGAGCCGAGTGCCAGCCGCCTGCCTGGCTCCTGGCACTGGCTCTCGTGGCTCCTCCTTCCCTGTCCTGGCATCACCCGGCAGCTCGATGGCCTGTGTGCCGGCTCTGACACGCCCACGGTGCCCCCATCCCAGCGTGACGGCCCCAGCAGCACTGGCACCGCCATGGCTGCCTGGGAAAATGCCACCCGGGAATGTTTTGCTTTGCCATACAAGCCCCACGCCGTTGCCCTCCTGCCGGCTGGTGCCAGGATGCCCTCATGGACCCCTCCTGCCCCAGCAGATGCCGAGGTCCTGCTTCCCCGGGCTCTTCCGTCCTGGCGCAGGCTCTGCATCTGCCCTCGAGCTGTCCCCGTTTCTCTTGCCCTGTTCGGGCAGCCTTGTGGCGGTGGTTCCCCAGCACGGTTCACCCCGGTTTCACCGGCAGGACCGGGACTGAGCCCTGGCTGTCCTGGCACACCACCGTGCCCCCATCCTGCCCCGCATGGCCATGCCTGTCCCCGTTGCCACCCCTGTCCATCCCTGGTGCGAGCCCAAAGCCCATCCTTGGCCAGTCTCATCCCGCCCCACGCTGAGCTGCGGAGGGCCTGTCACCATCCTCCCCAACGGCACTCAGCTGCCACCATGGCTCCTCTGGCTCTCCAGCACCAGAACGGTGCCAGCACAGCGGCTGTGCCACTGGCTCCTGTGCTGGCTGGTGTGCCTGTGTGTGCGTGTGCGTGGGCTGGCATTGGGCACTGATGGCCACCATGGGCTGGTGTGGCTGCTGGGCTTCTGGCTCCCCTTGCCAGAGCTGTGACATCTCAGTGGTGCTGCTGGCACCACCAGCCCGTGGATGTCCGTGTGTCTGTCCCATCTTTGCCATGCCAGGCCCTGGCTCCTCCTGCATGGCTGAAGCACGGGCAGAGCAGTGCCACTGTGCCACCCGGGCACAATGGGTAGCCGTGGCCAGCTCAGCTCCCGGCCTGCGTGGGCCACCAGCCCGGTGAGGGCTCTTGCCAAGCAGCGCTGGGGGCTGGGCCAGGCCTCCCCGATCCGCACCACAGCGGCTCTCTGTGCCCAGGGCAGGCAGCCGGTGCCCCACTGCAGCCCCCCACGCCAACCCCACACACCCCCAGCGTGGGCTCAGATTTGTCTCCTTTGTCACACAGGGATGTTGCCGGGGGGCACCCGGGGAGCACCGAGCACTGGCACCAGCCAGGGACCGCGGGAGGCCCAGCGCGGCACGGGAGAGCTGGCGGCTGCCCACGGCACGGAACCGCTGCAGGTACCGCTGGGCAGCGGGGAGGGGACCCCGGGGGGACGGCAGGGCCCTGGGATGGGGCTGCCCCACGGGGGGAACATGGGGCTGGGGGGCAAACCGTGCCCCTGCTGAGCCATCCACACCATGCCAGTGTGTGGGGCACGGCACACCGATCACCCAGGCTGGCCGAGGGGCTCCCCAAAGAGCTCATAGATCCCCCCATCTGTAGGCATGAGACCCCCTCAATCTGTGGGGCTGAGACCCCTAGTCCGTGGGGCTCTCCCCGGGATTTTTGCCCCACATGTATTTTGCCCAGGCTGTGTAGATGCCCCAGGGGTCAGGGGTCTGGCTCTGTGGGACCCCCAGCAGCCAGGGGCTTCCACAAGACCGGGGACAAACACCCCTCCCTGGCACTGACCCCCCCCTCCCCTCCCCTCAGGTGCTCCCCAAGAAGCTGGAAGCCAGGAGAGCCCCAGAGCACCCCGGGTAAGTGCCAGCATTGGCAGCGGTGTGGGGTCACGGTGTGGGGTCACCCCATCGTCTGTGCCAGGGAGCCCCCAGTGACACCCCAGCCGGGCAGCAGGGCTGGGGGGTCTGGCCTCAGGAGCAGTGCATCGTTCTCCATAGCCTGGGGGGCCCCCTTGCACCCCCCAGGGTCCTGGTGCCGAAGGGACCAGCGACCGGGCAGAGGCTGCCGGGGTCCGCACCGACAGCACCGCAGCACCGGCACAGGGCTGGGGGGCTGCCCCCACCCCACTGGGGGCCACAGCGCCCATCCTGCACCCCCTGGGGTGACCCCAACCTGCTGCAGCAGGCGGAGAGGGTTGGGGGGCTGGGACACCCACACCACCCCCCCGACAGGGGCTGTGGGTGCCCCGCCGGTGGTGACAGTGGTCTCTGTCCCCACAGGGCGCTGCGTGGAGCCCCCCAGGGGGGCGCAGAGCACCGATGGACTCCTCCTGCGCGGGGGCGAGGGCCTGCACCCCCCGGTACGGCCCCACGGCGCCCGGGGGCTGCGGCGCGGGGACCCCAGCCCTGCCCTGCCCCCTGCCACCAGCTCCCGGGGGGGGGCCGCGGCGCCGGGGAGGGGGCTCTGCCCCCGCCGTCCCCCACCGCAGCGCCCGCACACCGGCCCCCCCCCGCCCCGCCCCCCCCCCCCCGCGGGGGGGGGGGGGGGGGAGGCCGGGCCCACCCTTCCCCACAGGGCCACCTCCTCACGGCGGGGCCCCGCTGTCACCTCAGGGCTCCCGCGCATCCCCCCACCGGCGGTTGAACCCCCCCCGCCACCCCGATCCCACAGCCCCTC